CGAAGGGCAGCGACGGGGCCACGAGGGGCTGCAACGGGGCCACTAAGGGCATGCATATGTGGCCACGACGGGCGCGAACGAGCGGGGGCCGCGAAGGGTACATATATAGGGCCACGAAAGACAACGAGGGGGCCACGAAGGGCGGCAACGGGGCCACGAAGGGCATACATATATGGAGCCACGGAGGACCGCGAGGGGGCCACGAAGGGCTGCAACGGGGCCACGAAGGGCAGCGGCGGGGCCACGGGGGGCTGCAACGGGACCACGAAGGGCAGCGAGGGGGCCACGAAGGGCTGCAACGGGGCCACGAAGGGCAGCGAGGGGGCCACGAAGGGCTGCAACGGGGCCACGAAGGGCAGCGAGGGGGCCACGAAGGGCTGCAACGGGGCCACGAAGGGCAGCGAGGGGGCCACGAAGGGCTGCAACGGGGCCACGAAGGGCAGCGAGGGGGCCACGAAGGGCTGCAACGGGTCCACGAAAGGCAGCAAGGGGCCACGAAGGGCTGCAACAGGGCCACGAAGGGCAGCGAGATCCCGACTCCCAAATAATCTGAAGGGAGCCCTAAGCGTGAGCGCGACTCCTGGGTGCCTGAGTGTCGGGAGCGCGGCGCTTGAGTCAATTGCGGGAAATTCCAACGCAAGGGCGCTATTCTTGAGTATATTGCAAGCGAGTCTCCAGCGAAAGCGCGACTCCACAGCGCCGAGAGAGCGATTCCTGAATGCATTATAAGGACCTCCCAAGCGAGAGCGCGATTCCTGAAACAAATACGAGGAAGTCTCAGGCGGGAGCGGGGGTCCTGGTCAAATTGTAAGAGAATCTCAAGCGGCAGCCGTTGTTGTTGTAATCTGGGGACAAACAACACAGTTTGAGGAGGAATACTTTCCCAGATACAAAACAGGGTGCGAGCGCCGGGAGGGCTACTTCAATTGAGAAAATACCATGTGCACTGGAGGGGGGATCAACAATAGTTCTTCTTCAATCGTGAGTTCAATTGCAACAACAACAGCAGCAACAACAACACCACCACCACCAACAACAACAGCAACAGCAACAACAACAGCAAAGACGCATCGGTTCTTGAAATAGGGAGGCTCTTGAAGTAGACTGGGGTCTTTGAATCCAAAAATGGATAGTTTCAGCGACACGCGTGTACGTACGCATGTGAATGTAACATAGTGCCGGTCGCTGCGAATGAAAATGACGGCGGCGGCGGGGTCGTCGGCAGTCTGTGAAGCAGCCCGCCGCAGGCACCGATTTTGTCCACATTGCACAACGAGCCCGCCGCGGGCGTCGAATCTACGTCAAAGCAATGTCGGTGGGTCGCAGGTGGATCACGGGTGGGTCGCGGCTGGGTCCCAGGGTGGGTCGCAGGGTGGGTCGCGGGATGGGTCGCGGTTGGGTCGCAGGTGGTGGATCACGGCCAGGTCGCGGACGAGAACACCAGCTTTCTGAGCCCCATCCAACGAGGCATGTTTCCCCGTCGCTCCCCACAGGAAGTACGCTAGGTTTCTGACGCCCCCTCTGAGAAGGCGGGGGGAGGGGGGGGAACACCGCATCGCATCGCACTGGCCTCCCATGTTGTTTTTTTTGTTGTGGGGGGGAATCAATTCGATTCCCCGATCCTGTGGACGAGCCTAAGTCGCCTGCAAGCGTCGAAACCTCGCAAACCATTTCGTCTCCACGCAGTCTCGGTCTCCGCTTTACCCGGAACGGGGAAACTCAATCAATAACCCCTATCAAGAAATTCTTCCGTTTTGTCTGAAAAAAACAACATTACGAATATAAAATTGGTATGTAACCCAGACAATATAATCAACATTGAATACTCCGCAAGAGCGAACCGCTAGTCAAGTATATGTACTTGGGAGCCCAAAGTAAATCATCGTTACAAAATAATGTATATCGTCCTTACTAACATAATCCGAACTCAAGACGCCATGCTGAAGAATCCGTGGTGGGAAAACCGTTCGCGAATCCTTGCTCAGGAAACCTGGGTCAATAATCATTCGTAAGGTCAACCACCACAACAAAAGCCAACACAACGACGCAACAAAACAACAAACAAACGTCCCAACCCCTCACGCGCACGAGCACGTTCATTCCACGGCGGTCGCATCATCAATTGTTTTTTTGTACTGGTCTTCTTAGCTGGCACGGCAAGTGGCTTGTTGTGCGCTCAAACGGCTCAAATAATTAGTTTCTGAATTTGCCGCCTGCAACTCGCGCAACATCGTGTTGTACTTCTGGTGTTTACCGTTCAACTTGATCTTGGCGGCCTCCAACGGGCCTTAAGACGAAATGACGATCAAAAACGGGTCTTACGCGAGATGACGTAGCGACCTTACGCGGCGGCTTATGCGGGCCGCTGGCACGGCACGCCGAATTGGAAGCGAGGGCGCTTACAAGCGCCCTTACGCGAGAAGCTTATGCGCCAATGTCGGCGCAGACGACCCCGTTTGTTTCCGCCGCTCAGATGAGCTGGTGAAGATTTCCTCAGTCCACTGGTCTGGGGGCTGTCGGCCAGAACTCCACGACGCAAACCTGTCGGAAACGAGGGATCACCGTGTGGAGAGGTGCAAGGCGGCGACACGCAGGGCCACGCAGGACGCAGGGGGACCACCGTCACGATGGCGGGGCTCACGCCGCATGTGACGCGAACGACTGGAACACCGAGAATGCCGCGCCTACAGTGAAGGCCAGTCCACGAGAAACCTTCCACGAGAAAACCAACCCTGAGACCCCAGGACGCCCATGGATTTTTGGTGTGGGAACGTCCAATTCTCCAAAGCAGAACCGTCGAAACCCACAAACAAAAACAGGGCATCCTGGAGGCAAGCAGGGTGTTTCTTGGCATGGGTCCCCACTGTGTGCTATTTGCCCTGGCCCTTCCTCGAAGCACCCTGTACGGTGCGCTGAACGTGATGTCGGGGCACAGGAAGGGACAAGGAAAGGAAGGGGGGCACGGAAGAGGAGCAAGGGGAGGACGGGGGACGCGGGGGGGGGGTGGCGGTGCTGAGCGGAATGACGGTTCCCCAAGTGGCCCTGTCTGGCAAAAGCTTGTATAGCCGCTACTGGAGAGATGTTGCTCATCACACCGATGCTGGCGATCTCACAATTGCCAAGGTCAAGGCCCACAGATCCGTCGACGAAGCCACTGACGAATCGGATCGAGTTCGAAGCTTAGGCAATAAGTTTGCCGACATAATGGCCAACGAAGGTGCCCAGGCCAACGATCTTCCGCAGGATGTCGTGGATGAGCATATCCACAGTCTGGAGGCCTACCAGTCCATCTTAGAAGGTGCTGCCAAAATTCTGGCATCAAGGCCTCCGACTCGTTGTTTGGGCCCCCCCGGCGTGCCCCGAAACAGCGAAAACCTCGCCCTTTTGCGGTTAGTCATCAACCTGTTTGGCAAGGTACCCATTTTCGTTGCCTCAAATGTTTGAGGAAATTGAGCCCCAACTCTAAAATGAGCTGCGCCGAAATGTCTCAACTCTTCAGAGACATCATTGTCCGTGCTCCTGCGTTGCACCACTCCCTTGTCATTTCTTGGGTCGAGGGTAGCATGATGCCAATTGTGTACTGCACGATTTGCGGTGGTTTCAGCATGGGCAGAGGGACGAAACTGTCCGGTCCTTGTAATGCCCCCCGCCTCCCCACCTCCGAGTTAAGAAAGCTATGGAAAGGAGAGGTGCCTGGCACCCAACTCAAGTTTGGAAAGGTGGCCCCTATGGCCTTTTAAGGGTGTCCTCTGGATTAGTGAATCCAATAAGCTGGCTTTGTACTTGCACGACCAGTTTCGCAGAGTCCAGGGTCCAGAGGGGGGGTGGGGAGAAACAGGAACGAGGACGCCGAGGACGAGGAACAGTGAGCGGTAAAGGGGGGGAGCGAGGAGGGCAGAGGAGAGCGGTAGGAGATGGCGGAGGCGGAGAAGGCGCGGCAACACAAGCAACCAGCCATCGAACCGCCCGGCAGTGCAGCGTGCCAGTCGTCCTCCACCACGTGGTGCTCCATGACGGGGTCCGCCACGCCCCCAATCCGCTGCAATTCCTCGGGCTTGCAATCCGTGGGGGGTGCGGGGTTTTGCCATCGACCCTCGACCAAGTAGACTCTCGCACCACCACTCCCTCCCTCTTATCTGACTGTGCTCAAGGCCCACGCCGACGCCTTCCGACCCGCCCGGTCCAGGCAGTGAGCCATTAGAAATTGGCTTTTGCACCAAACCTCCCGCCACTCACACGAAGCATCCCGCACACCGCTCATGTCTTCACGATCCGGCTGCTGCCGATCTCGCGCACAAATGTCTCCTCCTCCTGTCGACCATGCTCCTGATCCTGCTGGTCAGTGCTGCTGCTGCCACTTCTCCTCACGGCTATGCTGCCGGTGCCGCTGGCCGGCCGCATCGCTCCTGCCCGGGCGCTCCACCAAGGCATGCCGCGGAGCGTGCCGAGTGGGGTGTGCTGCTGTCGAGCAGGGACTCCTACGATAGGGGGCCACATGCGAACCCTACCCCTACCCCCCACGATTTCTGAGGGTGGGGGTGGGGTTCACGTCGTTCGGAAGCTCCCGAGCGAAGTGAACCCACTCTCCCCCTCAGAAATCGTGGGGGGTAGGGGCAGGGCTCGCATGTGGCCCCCTATACGATCTCCTGCCAAACCTGGCGCCCCCTGTCGGGCACGGGTGCGCAGCGCTGCCACGGGCACTCCAAACCGCGGCGGCGCGCCGGAGCGAACGGAACAGGCAAGCTCGGGCGTGCGCTCGGGCGCACGGAGCAGCGGGAAAATGAGGTGAACCAATGAGCGGATGAGCAGGAGGGGCAGTCGTGGGGTGGTGTCGGGCGAAGGAGGAGGACATCGAGAGGAAGGGTCTCGAGGAAGAGGGCGAGGAGGACGAGGGCCTCGAGGGCGAGGACGAGGAGGGCATCGAGGAAGAGGACGAGAAGGGATTAACGGGGGGGGGGCGTGACCTCCTGCACGCGCACCGCCCGCGCCTGGGGAGTGAGCTACAGCTCGTCCTTGGCAGAGGCCTCCAAGGCGGGGATGATCTGCTTCTTGCGCGACAGCACGCCGGGAAGCACGATGGTTCCGTCCGTGCCGAGCGTCGCCTTCCAGGCTTTCTCCACAATCTTGGCCGCGCTCGGCCTGCACGACACGAAGGTCGCCTCCTCCTTGATGATGTCCACGACGAAGAGGAGCATGTCATCCAGCGCCTCCTCCTTGATCTGGTCGAGCTGGGCGGCCACCATCTCGGCCATCTTCTTCAGGGGCATCGCGGGCTTCGTTGTCTCCAATACGGAAACGCGCAGCTTCTTCCCGCCGATCTTGAAGATCTTCGTGTCCATCATTACCAGCTCTTTGGGGGAGAGGTGATCGATCTGCGCCTTCGCCTCGAGCATGCCCTCCGCAAACTCGTGGACGTTGAGGCCGGCAAGCTCGCCCAACTCCTTCGCGTACACCTTGTCGATCTCGGTAGTGGTGGGTGAGCGGAACTCCAGGGAGTCCGACAGCAGGCCCGCTAACATCAGGCCGGCGACGTTCGGGTGCTGCTAGAAGTGGTCCTGGCTTGAGGTGCTCCGAGTTCTTCGCGCCACTCTGGGGTCCCTTAGGCCCTCCGGCTTCATGAGGGGCACCCTGAAAGCCATCTTTAGGTCGGGCATGTCCCCCTACAGGCGGATTTTGAGCGACCAATTTCAAAACATGTCAGAAAACATCAAAAGCAGTCAACAAATGATAGAAAAATCGTCCCTAGACCATGTTTTGACTAGTTGGGAATATTCCTCCTGAAAGCCATCTGCGCCTCCCCAGGAAAGCTGGGGGCACCTCGGGCCAAGGCCGCTTCTGGCAGAACCCGGTCTGTGCTTCGGCGGCGTGAGGCCGAAGGCCTTGGCCCGCGCGTACAGGATGCTGCCCGCGGAGCACAGCGGCCGCATGTCTATCTCCAGGGGCTCCGCGTTGGCGAGGCCGCTGAGCTTGTGGTGGTCCACGATGGAGTGGATGGAGGCCTTGTCGATGCCCTCCGGCAGCTCGTTTGGGTTATTCGTGTCCACGATCGCGACGGGCTCCTTCTTCGCGATGGGCTCCTTCAGCAGCGGGGGCTTCTCCACGCCCAGCTTCTTGAGCACGAAGGCCGTCTCGGGGTTGAGCTCCCCGAGCAGGAACGGCTTCGCGGGGATCTTGCGCTCGTTCAGCTCCCAGGCGTACGCGATGGCCGAGATGGTTGGAAGAAGAAACGACGCTATAAACAGCAACTGTTGGCGCTCCGAGCGGATTTCTTGGATCTGCGTTGGACCCCCTCCCTGGCGCGCGGAGAGCGCCAGGGGCGGCGCCAGAGGCGCCGCCGGGGGGGCCCAGCGCGGATGCAAGAAATCCGCGCGGAGCGCCACCAGTTCATCTTATGGCATTCTTCCTTCTTCGACTGGTGGTGTCTGTGTCGGGCACCTTGTGCCCGAAGACCGAGAGCTCGGCGCTGGCCTGAGCGACCAGTGGCGCCAGGGCGAGCGCGCGCAGCGACGCGGCGAGCATGCCGATGCTGAGGGCCCCCTCGTGGCAGGCCCCGGGCGCCGCGCGGCGACCCCCTGTGGAGGCTTCGAGGTCGGGGCCCAAATGGCTGCGGAGAGAGAGAGGGGGGAGGCTCGGCCCTGCGCGCGGCCTCCGCGCTGGCCTGCTGATGCTGCTGGGCGTGCCGCTCAAACGGAGCACTTCGTTCACCATGCGAATAGGGCGACCCACGGCTGAGGAGAAGGGGAGGAGGGGGGGAGGGGGGGCGGGAGATGCCGCCCAAACGGAACACTCTGCCTCGCACTGTCGTGCGCTGTGCGCAGGAGGCGAGGCGCACCGCGCAGCCCTTCGGTGGGGGGCATTGGATAATTGGATGAGGAGCCCTTCGGCAAGGAATCCAGGGTCTGGAAGCTGGTGGAACTCGAGTTAGGTCGGGCATGTCCCCCTACAGGCAGATTTGGACGAAAAATAATACATGGGAAAATAATGCCCCCACCTGATCAAACATATCAGACAAATCGTCACCAGACTATGTATGTTCTGACTTTTTGTTTGAATATTCCTACTGTAGCGGAACATGCCCGACTTAAAACTCAAATCGTGGATCGGCCATGGATATCACCGCCGCCCTCATCAGATAAGGAACCCTCCAGGGCCTGAAGCGTCCTGGGCACGTTCCTTAACGAACGCCCCCACCGTATCGCTGGGAGGGAAGGAGGGAGCCCCACGGCTGAGGACAGAGGGAGGAGGAGGGGGGAGGAGGGGGAGATGCCGCTCTAACGGAACACTCTGCCTAGCACTGTCGTGCGCTGTGCGCACGAGGCGTGGTGCACCGCACAGCCTATCGGATCGGGGGGAGGGAAAGAGGGAGCAGGAAGGCAATCGGCAGTCAGACCTCCAATGCTGCCGGGTGGCCTCCCACGCAGCGCCGCAGACGGCACAGAAGCCTTACTGCTCAGAGGCCCGCGCGGTTTGCCCCCACTAGGCATTCATGTTTTTGGAGGCCCGCGCGGTTCTGGCCCCCACGACTGCCCTCGTCGCGTACGCGGACCTTGGTTGGCTGGCGCGCCTGAGCCCCCCCCCATGCAGCTCTCTTGGAGGGCGTAGCGGAGCGCACGCCTGTATACGCTGGTGGAGGCAAAGGAGGAAACACCACGTCACCTTACATCTTCGGGGGGCCCGGGAGCCCGTGTCAAGTCCGTGCAGGATGCGTGCCGGATCCACGCCACATCCGCGTCGAGCCCGCATCGAGCCCACGTCGGGCGCAGTAAAAAACACGAGCTGTGGGGACAGACGAGGCCCCCCGAAGACGCAAAGCAAGCCATGATCACTCAAATGCGCATTGCGTAGGGGGGACCACGGCTCCCTCCCACGTCTGGGGATACGGTCGGACCGACGTGTAAGATCGAGGTCGGCTCGGGGAGGGTACCCTCATGATTTTCGTGCTTGTTGGATGTGATTGTGCATCCTGGGGGAGGGTGCCCTCGAGTTTTCTTCAGTTTGGCTGGCGGAGGGTCTCATGTTCTTGGAAGATTTTTCTGTCCTAGGTCGGGCCATGCCCGCAACCCCCCACCCCACCCCACCTCGGTGGCCGCGGCCAGAGGGGAGGGGGCAGAGGAGAGAGGGAGGAGAACGAAGGGGGAGGGCTGCGGGGCGAGGTTGGAGCAACCCCGAGGGGAAACCCTCGCGAGACCGAAGCACCCGATTGGGGCAGGCGGCATCAGGGCGGAACGCTTGCCACCCAGGCGGCCAGAGGGCGACTGCCTCCAGAATCTGGATCACGTCTCCCCCGCGTAGGCCCTCGCGGGGTCTGATCCGCTCGCGCGGCCCCACTGTTCAGGAAGATGGCGGGACAGGGAGGACGATGAGGGCAAGAGGAAGTGGAGGGAGGCTACAAAGGATGCGAGCGTCGGGGCGGTGCTCGACAATGGTCGTAAACTCCACTGAAGCGTGCGCAAAGAAAACACATACCCCATGTGCAATCGGTACCGTTACCCAGGAAGGGGTGGAGGGGGGGGGGCCTGGGTAACGACGGATACGCTCCAGAAGATTCAAACAACACACTCTCCAACTCGCCCTCCTTGGATACCCCCAGTTGATTAGCAATAAAAGGACCCCCGACCCTTCGGGATGGGACCTAAGTCAGGAGGGCAGAGAACATTAGGGCTGTGGCGGTTTCTGCAGATGTGTCGAACCAAACCGCCCAGATGGATTATCCCTAATGTAGAGACGGGGACCTCAGGGAGGCCACGTCTTCACTGTGTTCTTAAGGTCAGGAGTTCTCTTTTACTCTCGATGATCCTTGGATCCCCCCAGTCGGGAACCATCCTCCAGCGCAGCCTTGTCGGCATAGAACTCCCTCAGCTCCTCGTTGACCTTCCGCATGGCGGCCGGGATGCGGTGTAGGAGCGCGGCGGCGCTCTCGGTGGCGTCCTGCGGGAGCGCAGCCGCTCGACTCGCGGCTTCGCCCGCGAGGCCGAGCAGCGAGGCACACCCCGCCGCAATCTCTGCTCGTTCCGTCTCGGCTCCGGCTCCATCCTCCTCCCCGTGCTGCCCTTCCCTCGCGCTTCTTCCCCCGCCTCCTGCTCAATTACCCCTCCGCCTCTCCCTCTTCCACTCCCGTTCCTCTCCTCAACAATTCGTATACCTAGGGCGACAATGATGTCATGGTAAGATTGGCTCAGGATCATCGATTTCCAGACTATCTAGCGGCACAGCCGATGCGGAACAGCAGGAACTTTGGGAAGCCCTGGAAACCTTGGAAATCCTGAACACACATCATTATCATGACCTCTTGCTCCTCTAACGATGCTTCTTCTTCACCTCTTCTCGCGCGCAGGATCGCCCAAAGGCCGGTCTGCTCGGGACGTCTTTTCGGCCTTACCCCCCGCAGGAGGCCGGGGGCGAGGAGGAGTGAGAGGCCGGGCGGGGGTGGGGGTGGGGAGGAGGAAGGAGGGGCGAGGAGGAGGAGGAGAAAGGCGTGGGGGGAAGCACGTGGGGGGGGAGGGGGGGAGGGCGACGGGGCAGAAGAGTTGGTAAAGGGAGGATGGCCAAACAGAAAGTGGCGGGGGGCGTGCCATACATCAAATTGGCGACGAAAAGAACATGGGCCCTACGCGAGATGGCACGGCGACCTTGCGCGGCGGCTCACGCGGGCCGCCAGCACGGCGCGCCCGCTTGGGAACGGGCGCGCTTACCCTTTGACCTTGGGCGGGCAGCTTACGCGCCCATGTCGGCACAGACGGCCCCGTTTGTGGGCGTCGCTCACACGACTTACGACAAAACAAAAACGGGCACAGCCGAGCCTGCCTCAGCTCCAAAGAGATCCGACTGGGGATCTCGAAAGGCACCGCTACCGCTGCTCCCCGGACCTCTCCCGGGGTGCACTCTGACCAGGGTTTCGGGGCGAATCCAGCGGCGGCGACGAGGGCCGCCAAGGAGGCCCAGAAAGGGGAAAACCAGGGAAGGGTAGCGGTGTGGGTACCTTTTCCTCCTCTGACCGGACGCCATGGGACGCACAGAGACGTACTAATACTGTATGTCCTCCTTGGAGGCGCGAGTCCGACCCAAACATGTACCCATCTTGAAGTATACCGCATAGACCACCCTTCGGGTGATAAGGAGGGGGGAGGGAGGGACCAACGTCGCACTCGATTGATCTCACTATCGAACTCACTACCGATCTCACAATCGATCTCAATCGATAGATCTCACAATCGATCTGACTATCGATCTCACAATCAATCTCACAATCGATCCCACAATCGATCTCACAATCGGTCTCGCTATTGATCTCATCATCGATATCACAATCGATCTCGCATTCGATCTGACTATCGATCTCACTATCAAACTCACTATCGATCTCATTATCGATCTCACATTCGGTCTCACTATCGATCTCACTATCGATATCACAATCGACCTCACAATCGATCTCGCATTCGGCCTCACTATCGATCTCTCTATCGAACTCACTTTCGATATCATTATCGATCGCACTATCGATCTCACTATCGATATCACAACCGAACTCACAATTGATCTCACATTCGGTCTCATCATCGATCTCACTATCGAAATCACTACCGATCTCATTACCGATAGTGATCTCACTACTAGCACAATCGATTGATCTCACAATCGATCTGACTATCAATATCACAATAGAATCCACAATCGATCTCACATTCGGTCTCACTATCGATCTCACTATCGATATCACAATCGATCTCACAATCGATCTCGCATTCGGTCTCACAGTCGATCTCACTATCGATCTCATTATCGATCTCACATTCGGTATCACAATCGATCTCACAATCGATCTCACAAGCGATCTGACATTCGATCTCACGTTCGATCTCACAATCGATATCACTACCGATCTCACTATCGATCATCAAAACAAAACATCAACATCGTCCAGCGGGACACCGGCGGGACACCGCGGGGCCCCGGCCGCCCGGAAGGGAATCATTTCG